GCTATATGTATACACACAGATATATATGTATATATATAGTTCCTGTGTAATATTATTTGTTCTTTTTACTCGTTTTTGTTCTTGCGGAATTTTTTACGCATTACTTTTAGCATTGGTATCTGAAAATTAAAAAAAAAATGTTCTGATATTCAGAGAACTTAAAATGATTACTTGGTTACTTATATAATGCATCATTTTACTTAGAATTATTGTCATGTGACGCATATATATATATATATATATATATATATATATATATATTAAAGAAGAGAGAAATTGAAATTGTGTTTGGTTGTACATGTCGATTTTTTTAATATAATGCTTTATTTTCTATGGAAAATAAAGCATAATATATTTTAAAAAAATCTACATTACAACCAAAAACGTTTGCGGTTTCTCTCTTCTTTTAATATACACTACTATTCTCTTGTTCGAACTATATAATCTCTTCCCTTTATATATATATATATATATATATATATATATATTATATATATATATATATATATATATATATATATATATATATATATATATATATATATATATAAAGTACAATGTCGTCATCATCAGTGTTCATATGAAAGTTAAATTTATACGCGTGAAGTATAAATCACTACGGTTATGTCCTGTACATTTTTTTAAAAAATTAATCATGTAGACATACGTGTAAGCGTCAAGGGAGGTAACTAATTTATCGTAATGTCTAAATATTTAAAAAAAAAAAAAAAGAACTATTTAAAACTATTAGTTAAAACCTCGATATTTTAAAGTATCAACTGCAAATATTTTTAAACATTTGTGCAGTATTCGTAATTTTCTTAGAAAAAAAAAACCCCAAAAAACAAGACCCAGATGCTAATGTCGAATGTTCTCGGAATAAAATGAATATGCATGAAAATGGTAAATTTTTTTGGGTCCTTTAATAAAGATACTAAGAATATTTTCCGTAATTCCGAGAGGATCTTATTAAAAATAAGTAGACAAAACTTGTCTAAATTTTCTTATAAGATATGTCTTAATGTCTTCCAATATATATATATATATATATATATATATATATATATATATATATATAAGTGTGTGTGTGAGTATTTGTGTGTGTGCACGCGCGCGTGTGTGTGTCTGTCTGAATGTGTGTTTCCTTGAAAAATCTTATAAGTTGCTTAATAGATTATTCTAATGTTTTTTTAAAGTGTGTGTGTGTGTGTATGTGTGTGCGTGTGTGTGTGCGTGTATGTTTTTAGGTTGTGGCGTTAACACATGTGAAATGAGTCCGGGATTAAGAGAGTGTAGTAACTCTCTGTAATGACTGCTGTTCCAAACGCTTTCGGTCAGTTCATTAGCCGTTTTCAGGAGGTCCGTTGTTAATATGTTTTCTATGTTTGTTTTCTATGTTTTATTGTGTGGAATTAACAGAAATTCTACGCTGTGCGACAAGTTATGTGGTTGTGATTCTATGATGGGGCGTCTTTTCTAAGACCGCCAACCACACGTTACTCTCATTGCCAAATAGGGTTAGGTTGCGGTATGGTTTGAATTGGTTCATATAAAGAACTTCCATTATCTTAAGATGTCGTCGACAATTTGATTTCTTTAGAATGATAGTGTTATCAACAAGAATGTTTCTAAAGAGAGCAAACAGTTGTTTGTGGGTGTCTAGGTACTTTTATGCGGCACTGAGATCACCTAATTGGTCTGTTATCCTTCTACTGGTGGTCGTCGGCGTATATACAATGTGTATAATCGCTTTTTACAAGAGCCGCAGTCTTTTACTGGGAAACAAAATTGATATAATAGATTAGTGGTCTTAAGTTTAGAATTGGTAGGCATGTTGGTAATAGCATAATGACAACATAAAAAAAAACAACTTATAAATATGCGAGATTAATATATAATAACATTGTATCTGTTATGGGATAATAATAATAAATACTGCGCCTCAGGAGTAGGCAAGGAGACAGTCGTTCAAGTCCTGTTCGGCTGTTCGGTTGAACTCTCTGCCTTCGGGCGGGGAGGAACCCGAAAGAGGCTACGCCGAAGGGCGGAGTCTCTTTCGGGGAGGTAAACCGACCCTGAACCCGTTTATACGGGTTCAATGGGCATATTTTTGGGCCGAGCTCACGGGCTCGGAGATCCCACGTTAAAAAACCGGCCTTGTGCCACATGATTCCCCAGTGGGGGGTGGGGTGACTTGAATATCGTCAGTAGTTCAAGTCGAGTCAAGAGTCGAGTCAGAGGCAGTCCGAAACAGAGTCGCGTTCAGACAATTACTGCAAGACATTGGAATAGTGATACTGGTCGAGACTACATTGTTCTCTCTACTAAACCTGATTGTTCGTACTAACACATTCTACTTCTCTGTATATATTCCTGTTTGTAATATATCTGTGTTATTTCATACCTGTGTTCGCGTTCTTCTTTATTGGTTCTACCTTGGACTAGCACCGTGGTACAAGGAACCGGACCATAGCAGTATCCCATAACAGTATCAAAGGGACTATGTGTAAAGCTTGAAAGAAAATCCGATGAGACATTAATTTTTAAATTTCTCTTTATGTGCTACCTTTCTTAACATAGGCGATCATGGATTTCCACAACTTCTTGTACCTTTTATCTCTTAATAAACTTTATCTTTTTGTTATTTCTCCTAAGGCATGTGCCGCCATCCATTTATTCAAGCTCTCTAGATATGTTCCACGTTGTCTTCCTCTTGCCTTTTATCTGTTTTGTGAGTATCAGATTTTCTAAGCCCTCCTTCCTCATTATGTGTCCCAGAAATATCAGCTGGCTCCTCCTGATGTTGAGCATTAGTTTCCTTTTTGTTTCTATCCTCTCCTAAACTTTGTTGTTTACTCACATATTCGGCCGACGGTATCCTTCTGTAGAACCCTATTTCTGTTGTTTCAAGTCTCCTATTCATCTTCGAGTTGATCATTCATCTCTCACTGCCATACAGATGGACGGATATCATATAGCAGTTTAGTACTCTTTTCCTTGTTTCTGGCAAATTTCTCCTATTTCTTAGTACTCTGCTTAGCATTTGAAATGCTTAGTCGCAAGAATTCGAATATAAAAGTCTTTGTACATGTGAAAAGAGTCCTGGGCTAAGGTGTAGAAACTATCCATAATGATTTTAGTCCCAAAAGATTTCGGACAATCCAATGGTCATTTTCAAGGGTTTCCTTGTTAATATGTTTTCTATATCTGTGTTGTATTGTGTAAGAGTAGTAGAAATTCGAAGTTGCGCGGGAAGAAATATGGCTGTGATGCTAGACTGGGATGTATTTTAAAAGAACACAAACTACACGTTGCTATCATTGTCAAATACGGTTAGGTATGATTTGAATTGTTTCATATAAAAAGCTTACAATTATCTTTCTTTAGAATGAAGGTCTTATCAACAAGATTTTTCTAATGGAGGCAGGCAGTTGTCAGTAGGTGTCTACGTGCATTACCATGGCACTGAGATCACTTGAATGGTTTGTCATCCTTCTACTAACTGTCGTCAACGTATCTAATACAGATAATCGGTTTATTAAAACAAGCTGTTTTGTACTAGGCAACAAAATTGATTTAGTACATTATCCGTCTAAATATCTATCTATATTTATGAGATGTGGCATTGTAATTACTTACAGTATTTACATTGTTAGGAGTGTTGTCCTCATCTTTATTGTTCAGTTCGAAATTCCAATCACCAGAAGAAAGCCGGAGCGTACAACGGCCGAAACATCATGAATATGAAGATAAAGATGAAAACAACAGTCAGAACAATGTAAATAATGTAAATGGTCGTCTGAAGTTTGCATTTGATAGGCGGTTTGTTATATGAAATTATGAGCTTTGCAATTTTCAATTTTCTATAGTGTATTGTAAGTTTTGCACTTTTGCCGGAGCCAACGAGTGTAATGTATTGTTTAATAACTGTTGTTAAACTTCTTCTACGTACCGCGTCTTCTTCGAACGTGGATGAGCATAGTCCTCCACAACATCCTATCCTTTGTAGCTCATAGTAAGGTTTGTCTGTTTGCCATCTCTCCTAACCTCTTTTCTGCAAAGCATTTACACATAAGTTTTATGATAACAGTTTCTTCTCACTTGTTAAACTCTCCTCTGGCTTCTTGCTTCCCAGTTAACTTTGACCATGAAAAATTTAAATACAATGTCAATCGTTTTATACTGTTTTTTTTTATTCTTGTTCTTTTATTGTTCTCTCTCCTTCATAGTCTTTTTTTCTCATATCCTCCCACACTCAGTAACCCCCCTTGCGTCTTAGTGGCTGTGTTGTCCTGCTTCGGAAAAAATGATTTTAAAAAAGGGCAAAAGAGCCACTCAAGATAGAGGGTTAATGAGTGAGGTTTTTTTTGTAGACGTAAAAGGATGAAATAAGAAGTGCATATTTTGAGGATATGTAGGATAGATAATGTTTGGCCCTAGACTTAAATAGGTTAAGTTCGTAGTGATCGGAGAAGCATTCCCTCTGGACTCTGTTCCACAAAATAACAGTTCTGGGTAAGAAGCAATCTGAATAGAACTTCTTCATTACCAATGCAATATGAAGGGAATGTGGATGATTCGATTCTGTGGCAAATCGGATCTTACCTGCGCAGGTCTGTACTAGTGGAACTAAGGAACATTTGCCATGGAAATAATGATAGTTTAGGGAAAGAGTTTGCAGGGTCTAAAGTAATTCATGGTTCTAAAGAATACAAGAACAGTTTAATTGTTTTGTTTAGTGACATATCAACACCTCTATGGGTTATTTAATGCCTAAATTTAAATATTTTGTACTAGATTTTATTTATTTTGGATAATAATGGTTTTAGCGATACAAATTTTAATAATTAACCCATGGCTGGGAGGAAGAGATGTGGGTTCATACCTTTCCCAAGGTTATTTGCGCGTAAGTGGATATAACGAATCCAGCTGGAATTCGAACTCGGCTCTCGGATTAGCAATTCTGAGCCATTATCCATTATACTACACTCACATCCAAGCTTACAGCACCTAGTATTTCCAAACTCTCATCCATCTAGGTACTGAGCAAGTTCGATGTTGCTTAACTTCGGTGATCGTACGTGAACCGGTGAAGAGCAGTTTACAATAGGTGAGAAAAGTGATCTAATTGTAATGCATTGTGACCATACAAACCTCTCATGTACTGTCGGACTAGAAGCTGGTGATAAGAATAGGAATGAAAAGCAATAGTGGGTAGATCGAGTGGGGTGTTAAGGCGACTCGCTGCTTCATTGATTCACAGCGAAAGCTCCAAAAATATAAATAAAAACAACAGATATCTGGTTTTAGGCGGGAAATAATGGCATCCAGTTGGTACACTGGGAAAGGTGCCCAAACATTAGAAGCAATGAGGAATTCAAAGATGATGGGAGATTATCCAGACCAGTGGTCATCAACCGGCAGTCCACGGACCACTGGTGCCCCGTGCAAAATTTTCGATGGCCCGCAAAAAATTGGGATATCATTTCAATTTTTATGAAGCTTCAGATTAAAAAATGATGAGTAACAAAACGCATTATGGATGGTATAGATCTTCAACGTAATCTTGAAGTAAACACGAGTACACAAGTAAGCAAATGTGACATCATCCAGTCATAGTATAAGCTAAGATGACCTGCAAGCTTTAAATTTTCAATTTGTTTTATTTAAATAATACAGCGAAGAAAACGGCAACTTACCTCGTCAAACCAAGTGACAGCGCGTCGTGTGTATTCTACCACGGAAAAGAAAATTACTTACCAAAAAAAAAAAGGGCACATATTTCGCATGACATACTGAAGACGGAATATTTAGATTAAAAACAAGTCCGTCGCAGGAGTCTCTATAAAAGTTTTTTGATATGCAAAAATTTGGCGTCCTCTCCCAGTTGTCGATGAATGAAAAAAAAAATGTTCGGCCGATAAAAGCAGTTAGTGTTCTCGAATCGGAAGGGGAAAATTGATGTATTTTGGCTACCGCATTCGTCGGAGAGTGAGTTATTTTTCTGACTGGTTACGTGCATTGTGATTTGTGAGATAGTACCTGCGAATCGAGTTTTCGGCATTCCTTTCTGCCCCCGATATTCGAGTTTGAACTCGAATATCGAGGGCAGAAAGAAATGCCGAAAACTCGAAATTCGGAAAACTTTTATTTTATTAATATGAAATGCATCCATTAAAGGTAACAAAGTTATAGTGTAATTATTTGTAAGCGTTTTGAAAGCAAAGGGAATGTTTGTCGCAGATTAATTCCAAAACGCAGGGAACAAATTACTTCTGAGAAATACTTCCCTTATAACGGTAAGACCTTAGCTACGGGGTGCGGCAGAAATACCTCCCATGTATACCTCACAGAAATACCTCCCATGTATACCTCACAGAAATACCTCCCATGTATACCTCATAGAAATACCTCCCATGTATAACTCGCGGAAAAGCCACATAATGATAAGACATTATTGGCAATGGTGTCTGCCTCTAGCTAATGGCTTCCCATTTTTTGGGAGATATTTCTGGGAGGTATATGTGGGGGGATATTTTTGCCGTTCCCTAGACTTCGTATTTCTGTTATTGAAACGTTGAGAATTGGTTTTATTACTAAACATAAGACAAAGATATTAACACCGGTGTGGAATCGATTTTTCTATTTTCAACCAAAAAGCATTTTATTAATTAATTGCAATTTGTTATATACTCTCGTCTTTTCTATGGAAATTATATTTTTTATTTTTTAATGACATCTTCCTTTAGTGGATACCACTCATTCCTCGTTAAATAGTAGGATTTGCAACTGGAAAAATTATAGTTATTCCTAAAAAATTGTTTATGCAACATTCACTAACAAAAAAAAAAAAGCAATTAATCTTACTATCTAAAATAAGTTTCGGTTTTAAATAACCCAGAAAGGGTTGGTAAGCCGTAAAAAATATCAATCAATCAAAAAATCCTTCAGGGTGTAGGCTATGATATCTCTTCACATATTTTTCTGTGAATTGCGTATTATTCGGAAATTGGAGTAGTTTTCTGAACAGTAAAATAAAGAAAGAAAGAAAGAAAGAAAGAAAAAAAGAAGAACAAAAGAAGAAAAAAGAAAGAAAGAATGAATAGAAAGAAAGAATGAAAACGAAGAACGAAAAGAAAGGAACAAACAAAGAAAAGTAAGAAAGAGAACAGAAAGAATTAAAAAGAAAGAAAGAAAGAAAGAAAGAAAGAGAAAATGAATGAAAAGAAAGTCAAAAGAAAAAGAAAGAAAGAATGAAAAAAAGAAAGAAAGATGAAAGAAATATGAAAGAAAGAATTAAAAAGAAATAAAGGAAAGGAAAAAGAAAGAATTAAAAAGAAAGAAAAGAAAAATGAAAGAAAAATTGGAAGGAAAGAAAGAAAGAGAGAACGAAAGAAAAATGAAAAGAAATAAATAAAGAAAAAATGAATAAGAAAGAAAGAAAGAAATATGAAAGAAAGAATTTTCAATGGTGTATTCATAAGTAATCCAAAACAAACAAACAAACAAAAAGAAACAAGCCCAAAACTGATACATTTATTTAATTTCATATCTCTTTAGAGAGTAAATTGGTACTTGACGCTCTTCGTCAAAATTTTTAAGACCGGGAGATTATTTCTTCTTCTGAAATGTCGAAATCTCTTACCTGTAAAAGTGAAAGAAAATGTTTAAAAATACAAAGTGAGTGGGGAATGGTTCTTGGACGTACTTCACCGACATTAACGTTTTCTTTCTTTCTTTTCTCTCTCTATCTCTCTCTCTCTGAGGATTCCTGAAAATCAGTTCGAAAAATAGTAAAAAAAAAAAATTTGCGATGTTATTCTTCTTTTTAAAACTGGGTTTATATAACATCTTTTTCTATGGCTTTCGAAAACCCCGTGAAGCGTGAGACGTAGACTCGCAGACCACTTGACTTAAGGCTCGGGGTATCGTACTTAGTAAAGCACCCACACTGCGATCTATTGAGACCAAGAACTCGAACGACTCGATTCGGCTTTTGAGGGACGGCAGCGCCGAGAAAATATTGGCCAAAAGTACGTACGGTCTGTTGTACCTGTTGCATTGCAGCTCAGCCCTGACACAAGGTTCGCTGACAGTTTACAGTTTCTTCCAGCCAAACGCTTGTGGCTTAAAAATTAATTTTTGGCCAGATCGTTACCCACGAATTAATAAACCCATGAGCCGACTGTAGTAGTAAGCTATTTATCTTTACTTTAATCTACTGCTATAGTCGAGCTAGATTCCTTGAGATGAGGCGGAAGTGAGGTGGGCAGTCTAACGTGTATCTTCCCTGTCCGTCGTTATACCTGTTGCATTGCCGCTCCGACCTGACACAAGGTTCGTTGACAAGGATCCAGTTTCTTCCGATTAAAATTTACCCTTATCAATTTCTAACAGTAAACCAGATTTTATTCTTGGGTTAGAACCTACTGTTATAAGCGAGCGAATTTGAGATGAGGTGTAGTCGACTGGGTGGAGGTGAACAATCTAACGGGAGTCTTCCCTGTCCGTCGTTCTTCGCGGCCTGCTTCGTCTCTCTGTGTGTCTTTTCGGGGTACTGGTCAGCTTTATAGCTAGAATAGTATTTTGTCCTATCATCTAAAAAAAAAAGCAGTTCATCTTCAGTCAGCGACCTATTTATTTCTGGGCCGCCCGTGAAGCCGATACCGATAACCATCGATCGAAAATAAATATTCCTAACCTATTTTTGCGACAGGTTTCATTTTAACAAACCCTCAGCTGACTGACGTTACATCTCTATTCGAAAAAAAAGAATACAGGGTCTAACTGCACGTAAATATAAAACCTGGAAATTTCCATCGCGTATACTGCATTTGGTTATTTTCTACTTTATGCCAACTTGTCATAAGCTTCATGTGCCGGCGAGATGACTTGCGTAGCAGAACATTTTTTCAATCGGAAAACGTGATGTGTGCTACCACCATCTGGGTGGTACGGGTACCCAGCGGACTTCGAGATTCGCGGAGGTCGGGTATACTATCTTTCTTAACTTTTCCTTATTGATTGACGTTTCGATTTTAAGTAAAAGCCGGAAATAGTGATGACGTTATGTCATTCAAACGTCTTTCATGCGCCATGTTGAGTTTTCCCTAGCTAAATACCACGCCATTGCTTGGACCATGTCATTATTGAGAGTTAGCTAATAACATTACTGCTTCTGCCTGTGTAGGGTAGATAGCTATTCGAAAGAGTCTTGGCCTAATACACACTTAGCAAATAATTTCGCTTTACGTTTACCACGAGATACATTTCAACATATCTAGATTCATGCTTATCCCAAGGGCAAAGTTTTTAAAAAGGCTTTCAGCGGTTGTTCGATAACTATGTCTTCTGTGCTATTCAATGATACATGAATCCGATGCTGAAACCTTACTTAGGTGATTAGTGTTACCGTAACCTGAGTTAATACTTCTTCTATGTGGCACGTGTTTTCAGAACGCTGACAATTATGGCTCTCTACGATATCCTGTCCTTTGTAACTCTTAATAAATCTTGTTTTTTTTTTTTTGGTTATCTTGGAGGTTTGAAGGAACATGAGACCCCCAATTGCTATTGTTCCCAGGTCCACCCTACCCAGAGGTGGTAGCACCTGTTAGGATCCTAGCTATGGGCAAGTAGTAAATCCCCAAAGAGAAATCTAGGCACTAGGAAATTATGAAATTAAACCCTCTATTTCGTTAGGGGTAGATTGTTCTAGTTCCACGTGCCATGCCTCTTATGGATGTTTCAGTTAATTCCCTTTAACTCGGATCTCCAAGTTTTTGGTCACCACTGCTGTAGCCAGCTATTGAACTCACAACTCTTTGAGCCAAGTCACTGGATACAACCAACGTTTTTATCCACTGGGCCGTGTGTCATCAATGGATAGCAATTCTAAATTGCAAACACTTAAAGAATCCCGAAATATAGCAATAAAGATGAATAGTCCGAACAATGTAAAAAATGTAAATATAAAACCCAAATCAGCCAAACCAAACCATCCTTCAGTTTCGACCCACTATAAGTCCATGTCTTGATGCCACATGTAGTCTGGTGCTTATTGAGAGATTCTTGATAAGATCCAAAGAATCAG